AGTTAATTTTATGGTCAGTCGATCGTAGATTGTGTGACAACCTTTTAAGTGGACAGATGGAGTATGTTTATATTTAATTATATTTGAATGTCTATTCTGGTTATTTTCATAATTCTTTTTTCCTTAACATTTATTTTTTTAGGTATTTATTTTATAAGACTTATAGATTATTTAAATTTTTGATGAGGATTTCAAAATTTAATGGCAAAATTGGTCATTTTTTCTTTAGTTTGAAAAGAAGTTTTATGAATAACTTGAACATTTTTAAATTTATTTTTTTTGAAGTAATAATAAATATATTTAGATTACTATTTGAACAAAGTTTTTTTTCACTTTTGAATTGGATCTACAACTTTTTACAATTAAATGTAGTTACTTAAAAATAATTCAATTAGGTTTTATTTTATTTATTATTAAGATATTTCATTTTTCTTTAATTTTAATTACTTTAGATGTAGATTGTAATAGATTTATTGTGTTAAGATAAAATATTTAAAGGATATTAAAGTAATTCACCATATCTACAGTATAAGATATCTTTCTAACGTCATGAATTGCATTCCCATCATCTAACATTTCCCCATAATGCTCTAACCTTCCATCTTACATTCGTCCCTCTCTCTGTCTACGCGAGAGATTCATCGATTGATCCGGTAAATCTCAATCACCTGTATGTTCATTTAGATCTCAATTATTCCAATTACATGCGAGAGTCACCCGTTAATCTCAATGTTAAGCTAATTGATGGCGTCTTCGCGGATGAGTCTAACTCCTCCGACGGAGACTCATCTTAACCAGTATACTACCTTCGTGTTCTCATATTAGGCTGACTGTTGCGAACGATTATGGTATTATTCACTACTCGATTTTTGGTTATTTGGTACATATATCTAAATCTATAAATTACAATGTCTCCGGAATTAGTTTTTCTAATTTGTGTATTCATTTGAAACATCTAATGTTTTCATTACTGTGAACTGCTTTTCATGCCTGAACTTGAAGATTTTTTAAATACATAAAAAATGTCATCCTCCCCGCTGGCTGTATGGGCGGGTTGTCCCTCACTGCTGCATTCCTTTAGGCGTTAAGTAGAATTTGTCTTCATTGTAAACAAATCTGAATAACAATTATGTAAACTATTTTCCAAAATATATCTCAATAGATATATACTTGTATTTATACATTACAACTATACTCTAAATTTACTATTTATTTTTATAATATTGAATAAATAGTATGAATAACTATATAATTTAACAGTTTTCCAGTGATATTTATAATCTGTTTTCAATTCTTTTTACATGTGTGTATATCAGTATATATATACTAAGTAAGTAAGTATAGTACAAATTCCATATCTGTATCATATTCATATATTTTTTTCTTCAAAAACACACATATTCAACAATCTTAAAACATTGTCTTGATTTATTTAATAGTATAGCAAGATACATACATAAAAAGTATTTCTATACTCATTTTTTAGTTATGAGTCAATTGAAACTGTTTAGAGCATCATTTTGACCATTTCCAACACTTCTGCAATATTGAGCAATACATGTCCTTCTACTAAATGGGTATTCTAGCCCCAAATGGATATTAAACCCTGGTGTGTTAACTGGTTTTTATGAACCTTAACAATGGGACTGTTCAGCCAACCACCTCGGTGGCTTTTGGATCTTCCTGATCTGGTAGCCTCCTTCGCAGAAAAACCTAAAGCCCTTCTCAAGCCAATATTTTTTACTTGGAGATGAAAGTCCTCAGACCAGGACTTTAAACTTGAGTTCCGGTGAGAGATGGTTGTTAGATATTGTGTTTTGAGATCCTAAATGATTTTCTGATTTGCTTATTTATGCATAGTTCCTTTATGTAGTGAAGATGACAAACGTGGTCTATAATTCAATAAAGAGTGGTTAGTAAGCTCTGCTAATGGTTGGTCTACTACTTTCACAAAATATATAATAATATGACCATCTTTACTTAGTTGCACCTTAGGAGTCTAATTTTCCAACTATACTTCCTGTTTTTGGTATATATCAGTGCATTCTTTCCACGTTTTAATAACAAAATGATGTAATTTAACGTGTTCTCAAGGCCCAATAATAGATGTATCTTATTGCATAAATAAATATTTAAGCTAAATGTATATATACTGTTTTAGTTTAAAGCCAATTTAAAATATGGTTTCAAATTAATACCTATTAATGTCATTATATTTCAAAAAACAAGAAGGTCTGCTTATATCCTTGGTAATATGGAAGTGATATTTACTAAGGTCTCGATATATAAGGCCAAATATCAATCGAGCTCAATTAATATATATGTTTAAATATTAAAAATGATTTTTTTCTTTAAAATTTGATTTATCTTATTAGAGTACTATGAAGTACAAAAGTTGTTTTACTTAAAATTCCAATTTTTTTTTGGACTTAATTTACTCTTTTTTTAACTTGCCTTTTTACTTATTGGTTACCTTCATTCTTTAAGGCACTTCATGATATTGACTGGTTGCATTTGAGCTCACATTCATGTTTTTGCGATTTGTAACTTGTCTAATAATTCATCTAATATTAGTTGTATCTCTTATACGAATAGCGACCTGATATGCAAATATACAATGCTCTAGAGAACAATTTGATCAGTTAAACATATTAAAGTGGATAATTTCTATTCCAACATGTTGAATACTATTTTATTGTGATTCGCGTTTGTCAAATGTCTTGTATTACATAGCCTTTAATAATAGCCTTTTATAGTATTAATGTTTTGTATTAAATAGGATAGAAAAGGAAATGGGTCCAAATATGTCTGGCCCATATTCCCAGGCTCTAAGCCTTTACCGAAACCTACCCGCGGTTATATATACGCATAAGGTCTAGGTATTAGGTTAACATTCATTCATAGCTTATATCATTGTAAGAGCATTCACGGTATATTGAAGAGGGGTTTCATTGATCAAATACTTCTATATCATTATGTGAATCTCTATTTCTTTTATACTGTGATGCTACCATTCTGCTGTTAGATAGTTTCATCTCAAGATAGGGACCAATACAACATTTGTTATTTTCCAAAAATAAAGGGGCTAAAAAATGACTGTTTTTAATGTGATACAAACCTAGTTACCTAGCTATGTTCTAACATATTATTACCTCTTTGTCACAGCTTTAATCCTCCAGGCTCTATTATATTTTTAAATCATTATAGTCTGATTGAGGAAATGTTTATTTGTAGCGTCTTCGACCTAAATATTGTGTGCCATCATATGTATTATTCATAAAGGAATTGTAATAGTTAATTAGTTTAGATTAAGGATGGCAGGGACCTATTAAGGCACAACTAAAATCTCAGGTATTATCCTTATCTCTTAATTTTTCAGGTTTTACTTCGCATTTAAAAGCCACCAAAGACTGATTGGTTCTAAAAACATTGATGAGTTTGAGTTGTTTTTAAAACTTAACAACATGAATTATTAGCTGTTTTTATTTTTTGTAAAGAATAAAATATTTGAAGTTTAGAATTTAAACTGAAATGTATTGAGATTTATTTGCTTAAAAGATTTCATTTTTTTTACCTGTTTATATATACGGTTTCAAAAGTATTTTAGTTTTGAAACCCCAAGTAATTTAAAGCCAATTACTAAAATGGTCCTTTTGTTTTTGCCATTGAGTGTGTATGAGAAACATTTCCCGCAGTCTTACCAATGACATGTTAGAAAGCATACAAAAGATTTGGATTTATAAGAATTAATTATAGAGTTGTGTCTCACCATTGTATTATTCAGCAGTAATTACTCATTGGATCATCAATACGCCCTTCCTGCTAATTTTTTGATGATTAAACACTAGCCTGGTATACACTACGAAGAACACATAAATTATATAAGTATAATTTTCACAAGACTTTTCAGCACATGATATACCTGTTCATTATAGAAAACTTTTGCTAGTGTCTCTCATCCTAAAATAGGTACCAACTTCAAAGGCCAATATATCGCTCGCTTCCAGTGCTAATGCAATGACTTGTTTTGCTTTGAGGTCCCAAACTGATTTAAGTTTGACATATTTATACTACAATTTTGGAATTGCTTTTAGGATGTAGTATGAGAAGTTGCCCAATGGACGCATGCAGCGTTTTTAAATTTTTATTAATGATCGACAGAATTGTTGAATAGACAACACAATAAATTCACATTCGCACACAATCCAATATATAACTCATTCGAACAATTCATTTTGCATTTACTCATGTTATACATTTGGACAATATCGCTTAATATCTATGTAAAAGGTCTACATTTAAACAATTGAAGCAACATGCAATAAATGTGACTGTACGATTTACAAAAGTCACTGTTCACTCATACCTGTTATCCAGCGAACCAATATTTAACAATATTTTGATTAGATCTACATTTAATGCCCTTCATCCGCATGGCTTCAGCATTTATTGAGCAATAAATGAACTGTACTGTTTTCTCAACAAAGCAGTCTAACCCGTTTAAGAAACCCGACCCAGTCACTGCACCCACTTCTACCTAACCTGACCCATTACTGTACATGTTTGGGCGGGAACACTGTACGGTTTTCCTCCTGCTTTTGTATAATACTCCCTTCATCCCTTATAATTTTGCCAACTTTCCTTTTTTTAAATGTCTCATTAACTTTGCCACTTTCCCTTTTAAGTAAAGAATTTGTGGTTTCAATTAATTCTCCATCCTTTGCGCAAACCTCACCTACACAGTTTTTACTTCATTAATCCTCATACCGGTCAAACTTGGCAAAGTTAGGATATTTTTACTTGGACTGTAATTTGTTGGTCTGGTCTGGTTTGAACTGGTCTGATTTGGTCTGGTTTCTTTGTATTTTTATAACTATCCAAATCTAGTCTGGTCTGAACTGATCTGATCTGATCTGGTGTGGGAGAAATTACAATCCAAGTAAAAACATCCTTATTAGAGACGGAGGGGGTAAAAGATTTTCCCTCTAATCATGGGCTGGGATTGTTTGGGCCAGAAGGCCCAGAACCATTCCACATTTCCACTGAAGTGAACTGGACGATGAGTTTTAGTCCGTACGGTCTATGTAACTGTATGCTTTGCAGTTTCACCATAACATTTTCTTCTCTTTCTCTTTCCGCAAGTAAACTCTTCCTCCACAGAAACGAGCAACAGAGAACTAACTCTCTGAAGGAAGCCATACCAAAAACTCCCCATGGAAGAAGAGGGAACACAGACCCAGCAACTAGTTCTAGCTAAAAATATCTCCCTGCTTACCCACTCCGCTGTGAACGACTTGCAGAAAGTTAGCCTTCGCGATGAGGTCTACAATGTCATCGTCTCCAATGGTATTATTAGTTGTTTCTACTGAATCCAGAGTTAATTGGAATTTTTTGTTTGAGATTTGGAAATGTCTGTCTTCGATTTGGCCGCAGATATGGCTCCCTTGTATCAAACCCTAGCCGCGAACTCGGTACTGACCTTGGATCAGAAGGTCCTTGATTCAATGAGGGCTAAGATTGAAGAGGAGCTAATAAAGCTTGATGAAAAGTGAGCTTCCAGTGTTCATTTTGCATTACACTATATCGGTGGATTAAGATATATCATTTCCGCGTTTGATTTATTTGACGACCAAAGGCTTCGTTCACAGTGAAGTTAATTAGAAATTTATAACCATCAAGTCAAGTAAGAAATAAATGCATGATCGACTCTTATCTTCCGGAGATCCCTTGTTTTGTGCTAAGAGAAACAACCTTCATATTTGTACCAGTAATTCTGTATGCGTCATATTTCCTGGGTAACTTGTAATATTTCCGAAAGCTAGTCTCCATTCTTTTGCTTCCTTTTGGAATCGTTTGAATGTTGTTAAATTGTTTCGAGCTTGAAAAGGCTATGCTGATTTTTGCTGAGCAATTACTATAATGTTTTGCCTATTTTGTTGTGCTTGTTGTGAGGTATCTTCAAAATTGCATTCATCTTTCTTTAGTAAATACTGTCTCAAATTGGATATCATATATCTAGGATTGCTGATGCAGAAGAAAATTTAGGGGAAAGTGAAGTTAGAGAGGCTCACCTGGCGAAATCCCTGTTTTTCATTCGTATCGGTGACAAGGTGAGCACTACTATTATTTATTTATTTGATGGAAATTAATTTGTGCTTTTTTGCCAATTCTAAACATGGTTTTGTTGTGCACTATAAAATTCAGGATAAAGCACTTGAACAGCTCAAGCTGACTGAGACCAAAACGGTTGCTGTTGGGCAGAAAATGGATTTGGTATTTTACACACTCCAGATGGGTTTCTTTGATATGGACTTTGACCTAATTTCAAAAAGCATTGACAGGGCAAAGAAGTAAGGGTGCAGCTAATTTTTAGACAACTTCATTTTTAGTTTTCAATTGTTTCTAATGATGCAGTTTTTTTCCTTATTATTATTGCCGATTTCCTTGAATGGTAGACTATTTGAAGAAGGGGGTGATTGGGAACGAAAGAACCGGTTGAAGGTCTATGAAGGACTCTTCTGCATGTCAACCCGCAACTTCAAGAAAGCAGCTGACCTTTTTCTTGATTCTATTTCAACATTTACAACCTATGAGCTTTTCCCTTACGATACTTTCATATTCTACACTGTTCTCACAAGCATTATTACGTTGGATCGTGTTTCCCTAAAACAAAAGGTATCAAAATGTTGTTTTCAATCTCGTTTTCAGTACTGATGATTTCTTTCTAGTTATTATTCCTTTTATAATGTTTGATACATGTTACAGGTAGTCGATGCACCAGAGATCTTGACAGTTATCGGAAAGATTCCTTATCTTTCTGAGTTTTTGAACTCCTTGTACGATTGTCAATACAAGGCATTCTTCTCCGCCTTTGGTAAGTATATTTTTGTGTGTGACCTGTCTCTCAATATGTCAATGCCAATGGAAATGAATTTTCTGTGCTTTTATTTTCTCTATTTAGATTCTGGAGGAGTTACTTCTAGATATATTCATATTAATCTTAGTGGTTCACATTTTATACATTGCAGTAGTGTGTGACCATTACATTTACTTCCTATTGATGGGTTAGAAAATAATCTATGTAGGGATAGGTGGTAGGTGTAATTTTGTGGATCACGCACCCACACCTTGGGCTGGATTCGGTTTGAGTCCCGAACCAATACAGTGTAACTTAGAACTGAACCGACATATCGGTTATCCAAATTATCCTAACCGAAACCGAACCGTTAGTGGGACGCGTACCGATTTATTGGGAACCAATTTTTCAGGTCGGTTCATAAAAAACCAAACAAACCGACTCTTTCATTAAAATAAATATATTTGAACTACAATTCAATGCTTTAAGCCCAATACAACTTTCTTGAAAGATTTTGAGCCCATTAAGGACCACTCAACTACTCAATATGACTAATAGGTAACCTACTTGGTCACACTCTAGCTTGTGAGCTAACCCTCATTATATAGAAGTCTTTGGGGGACAAATTTGCTCTTTTTCTGGTGTGGGACAAAGTAGGATGGGAGAGTAAAGTGAGACTTAAAACTGAAATGATTAAAATTAATTAAAATGGTGTGGGTGGGAATCGATCTCCTGATGCCCAGCAGCTTCCTGCAGTGGCCGATCACCGTACCAATGCTTCCAGTACGTTCGTAAGGCACTCCGACTAATATTATATCTTTTCTAAACGTCATTAATTATGATTATTAATAATAACAAAAATTATTATTATCAATAATAAAAATCGGTTCGGTCCAAACCGATATTTTGTATATATAAACCGATTCCGAACCTTTTTTTAGGGTCCCGATTTTCGGGTGCCAAAATTTATCATTTTGGTCCGGTTCAGTTTTTTCCAATGCGATTCAGTTATTATCGGTTCAGTTTTCGGGTTTTCAGTTCAAAATGCCAGCCCTAACCACACCAGTCCCACTGATTTTGGTGATCACGGGTATGGATGTCAGAGTCAAACCTGCTGTGAGCTATGATGCCCATAAACTCATAGGGCATGGTGTTTCGGCGTCTAAGAACTATTCGAAAACCTTCTGGAAACTCTAAGGAGACCTTATAAGACCTGTTTTTTGTTTAAAAATTATTTTCCCGCATTTCATGTTTCCACGTTACCTAGATAATGGGTAAAAGGTAGGTGGTGGAGACCTTTTTTGCTACCTACTGCTATTGAGACAATTTTATTACAGAATACATGATTATATGTATGCATAATTGCATATAATTACATACGACTTGGATTAAACAAGCCAGAAGAAGAGACATTTGTGTATCCTTCTTGAATCTATGTCTTTGCCGGAGGAGGCACAGAAAGCCTGAGATGGGCTCTCAAATAGATGTGAGGCTGAAGATGGGTCCTCAAAGAGATGCATGGCTTGGAGTGGGTCGTCGAAGGGCATGGTCTGAAGAAGTTCTGACATGTTTTTACACATTCATCTTTTTTTTCAAGTTCAGAGTTTTTACAACTACGAAGAGTTTGAAGGTTGTGTTTGCTCTAAAGTCATACTTTACCTCCCTAAAAGTCAAACTACTCCCAAACCCTGTGATTGTAGTCTTGTAGCGGAGACAAACAATTTAAACTATATTGGCACTATAGTTACTGCTACTAGCATGATCATACCTGCTGCAGCTTTTGTTGTTACCTTTAGAGCCATCTGCTTCCTACAGAGGACATGTCGGTGGCCAGGTGCTGCTCTGCCTTTATAGTGCCATTATTTAACACGATATCTTAATTGTTGAGTAGTTCATATTTTGGAGATCTTTGAGGGCAGTTGTTTAAGCTTTGTGGAGCTAAAATGAATTAGATAATTTCAGCTCTAGTATTGGGTAAAGGTGGTATTTTCTTTGCTGAAATGCGTGCACAAATTTGAACTGCATTCCTTGGAAAGGAATGGATGGCAGATGAAGATGCAATCATAGAGTCCGGTCTGGTTGGGGGATGAGGGAAGTGTCACATTATTATATACTCCCTCCGTCCCGCTAAGATTGTCCCAGTTCCTATTCACTTGGTTAACACAAATCAGTCTTAATCTCTTACTTTATATATCAATTTTTTATCAAATTTGATTCTGGTTTTTGCGACTTTGTAAAGCTTTTAATGTAGTTTTTGAATAAGTATTTTTTTTTCTAAAATTAATTTGAGTGGGATGGAGGTAGTAATATAAACTCCTTACTATATACTCGATATGTCCCAAATGGAGTTGTACATTGAAAACTTGTCTAAGCTAGAATAGAAACATGCTTTTATTAGTAATCCATTACTAAAATTAACAGGTTGTATCCTAGTGAAATATTACTTTTTTTAATGAAGGTAGAAATGCAGTATCTGCTTTTTACTAGCTGATCCATTAGTTCTTTCACGCGTTTTCTTAGGAAAACTATAGGGGAAATGAATAGTATGAGAGTAGATAGAAAAGTAGAAAAGTCCGAAAGTGGAGATGAAAAGTAAGAGTATTTTACTTTTTATGTATTTCGCTATGATGATGTTTGTCAAATTAGGAAACTGGGGCAAGAATTAATCTATAAAAAAGAAACACAGAAGCACTAATAAAATGGTTGGAGTGTATTTCAAGGAATTAGTGCATACATGAGCAAAAAACGAGAACAAAACTAAGTAGCACAAGAAATGTGAAAAGAGGTATACTAGGAGTGTAATCTGTAAAGGAGAAGCAGTTGTAATGAAGGTTTCCTTATAGTTTCCTAAAGGCATCAAAGTTTCCGAAATGCGGAAACATCACCCACGATGAGTTTCCAGGCCTCATAGTTAGAAAATAATGAGAAATGTTTCACTTAGTAGTGCTTTAGTTATTATATGTTGAGTATTGTTAGCGGAACATTCTATGTGGACAATCTCGCATTGAAATAAATAGCGTGCAATATTGGCGAAGCAGAAGATGGGTGCTACGAAACTCTCTGTAATGGAGTGTTTGGCTGTGAGTCTGTGATCGAGATAGCGGCCGATATAGCGGTTGCTATAGCAGCGGCACTGAAAAATGAGTCTGCATTTATCGGTATTTTTGGGTTTTAGCAGTTTTAAAGGGGTAAAGTAGTTTTTTGGAATAAATTGTTAAAACTATCTAAGTACATAAAACTCATCCTGGTCTTCAAAAAATGATTCTTCTCTCAATAACTGCTATCGCGACTCATCCATTGATTATGTATGTCTCGAACTTCTCCTCGTCCTCCTTATACTTTCAAATCTTCTACTTCTCAGTCAGGAGCCTACAAGAGTTATTCCTTACCTTTCTTGGTAGTGGAATAGTATGATACATTTAAAAAGACAAGAGTGTCTTCTGTGATTTAGGATTTCAAGATAATGACTTTTTAGTAGTACTTTAGTAGTCATGAATATGATGAACTTTGAGGTTTATAATTTTTGTATGTCTTATGTCTAGGCAATAACCGCAATATTGGTTTTTGCATATTTATGAGATATTCTACATAAGAGTTGTATGAATGGCTGTCATCCCGCTATCTGCTTAACTGCTATCCATGATTTGCAACACTGCATTCTAGTAAGATACTCCTATGCGAGGCATACATGTTGCCATTTTCCAGTACAATATGGTACTGTTAGCTTGTAAAATGTACCAAAGTAGGTATGTGATGCATGCATGTTGCTATTAAGCCTATTCTCAAAAATATCTTTCATGTGATAGAGTACTTTGCACATTTTAAGTTTTGTCAGTTGTGTGTAATACTAAAATTGATTGTGTGATTGTGCCCAGTACAGAAGTCTCTGATGTGAAAGTTTTGCATGTACATCTTACTGAGCAATGTCTCACGTTTCACTAACTTCAGTGTATATATGAAATAAATGCTTTTCATATAGAATCTCTATATTTACCTAATTGTTAGTTTATCGAAATTGATTGTAGCTGGCATAACAGAGCATATCAAATTGGACCGCTATTTGCACCCACACTTCCGTTATTACATGAGGGAGGTGCGAGCTGTTGTTTATTCCCAGTTCTTGGAGTCCTACAAAAGTGTGACCATTGAGGCAATGGCCAAGGCATTCGGTGTGTCCGAGGACTTCATTGATACGTATGTTGACACTTTTACACTGCTCCGAGGTTCTATTATGACTATTAGTTTCGATCAAAATAATCCCTGATTGTGAGTGTCTTTTTTTTGTGGACAGCGAGCTCTCTCGGTTTATTGCTGCTGGTAAGCTACACTGCAAGATCGACAAAGTTGCTGCAGTGTTAGAAACAAACCGCCCTGATGCTAAGAATGCTCTATACCAGGCCACCATTAAACAAGGGGATTTCTTGTTGAACCGAATCCAAAAGCTTTCGCGAGTTATTGATCTTTAAGGCAATATCCTCCTGCTCTAGCACAATCATTCCAGATGTAGTCATTCACCTCCCCTTCAACATCAAAATATGGTTCAATTTTATTCTGTAACAAAAGAAAAGACCCAATATGATTCCTTCTGTTTTTTTTTAATTGTTTGAAATGAAATGTTTTCTTCCCATTAGGGTTTCAAGTCTAAATCAACATGCTTGCCATTCAGAATTGTGCTATGCAAAATTGCAAACGTATTTCCACTTATCTTACTCTTCTAGCTGGCTGTCAAGGTCTTACTTGTAGGGCAATCTGGCTATTTTAACTATGGAGTACTTATTATGTGTTAACTGCAAGTCTGCAAAGGTAGTATGGTTACTAGTTACTAGGGTATGCATGTAATAACTAATCACAAAACACAAATCCAGCCTGATGCCTTGAATTAGGGATGGACTGGGATGGGTCAGGTCGGGTCAGGATGGTTCCGGACCTGGCTTGGTTAGCTGGTACTGGGATGGGGCCTAGGGCCCGACCCAGAGGATCCAACAGGTGGGCTATGAGTTCAAAATATGGTGGACCAGCCCAATTGTTTTTTGTGGAAATATCCCAGTTCGGTCACTTTTTTGTTTGACATATCACATATCATTCATTTCCACCCATAAAATAGTTTTCATATTTAACTTTTAACATTTCAATTTGATTTCTTTTATTTCAAAAGTAGCTTGCATTCTAAATCCTAAATCAATCGCACATTCAAACAATAAAATCATCCTCCGCTCTGACTTTTCTCCTCTAACCCTCTCCTCCCTCATCATCCTGCTATGTCTCCTTCCATCCATTAAGGGATGGATTCGGGCCGGGTCGGGTCCGGGCCGGGCCTAGGCCTGGTCGGGCCGCCGGTTCAAGAAAAGTGGGCCCGGGACCGGCCCGAGGGTTGGACGGGTCCGGTTCGGGCCGGGCCACCCGCCCGGGTCACGGGTCGGGTCCGGTTCGGGCCGGGCCTGTTAATTTTTTTTTATAATTTATATTTTATAGTTTATAGTTTTATACGAATATTAAAAACAAACTTCAATTGCATTTATTTGAAATGAAATAGGAACTACATTTGAAAATTAAAACAAACTTTAAGAGATAAACATTTTGAAAATTGTAATCAATCGGAACTTCCCGCACCACCCGATCCTTTGGCTTTGTCATATGACTTCATATGCTTGATTGCCATCCCGAATCTGCCTGAAGCCCCCATGATACATTTTTTTTCGCACCATTTGCAAATTGCGTACCACATCCTGGTCTTCGGGTCCTTCTGCTTATCAAAATTATATCGTATAATGGCATCTTGATTTTCTATCTTAACTTCTTAGAGAAGAGAATTAGAGAGTAGATATATAATATATTGGAGAATAAGAGAATTAGAGAGTAGAGAGTTGAGAATAGGATTTAGGAAGAATTGGAGAAGAGATATGAAAAAATGTTTAAGATTAGGAGTATTTATAGGGTTTTTTATCCCCCACCCTCCACCCCCACCCCCCACCACCCCCACCACCCAACCCCCCCGGACCCCCCCTTTACCCCACCCAACGGCTATATAGCCGTTTGGGTTGTCCCCACCCCCCACCCCCAACGGCTAGTAGGAGCCCAAACCATTTTTTTTTTAAAATTGAACCGGACCCGGGCCCGGGCCCGACCCGGCCGGGCCGTGTCACAATAATGCTGAACCGAGCCCGCCCCGCCCCTTCCCACCGGTTCGGGCCCATACCCGGTCCCGGACCGCCCGACCGGGCCGGTCCCGGGCCCGCACAGTACCGGGCCGGGCCGGGTCACGGGCCGGGTGACCCGAACCGAATCCAACCCTACTGATCCATACATTCAGCCTCCAGTCTCATCTATTTTCTTCAATCATTCGTCTTCCCCTCTACTCTGTGACTCTATGACACATCGACGCCAACTCGTCGGAGTGGACAATCACCGCAACATAGGACGCCAACTCGCTGGTCGCTTCTTCGTCCTTAAAGCATGACAGCCTCGCCGGCTCCCCGGCACTAGTTCTAGGCTCATAGTTGACGAACAAATTCAAGTAAATGGTAATTCCTCCAGCCTTCATTAATTCTGTCATCTCCCTCCAACTTGATTCCTAACTATTTAAGTTTCTAACCTAATTTTTTCAAGGTAAACTCAAATTTACATGTCGATTTGTAAATTTGTAAATCAAAAAGCTGAAGTTGCTTATTTGTAAGGTATTATAATCTGAATTGTGAAAGTGTTTAATCTGAAAGCCTGTAATTGCTTAGTTTCTATGAATTTTATAATTGCTATTACATTTTGGTTATTATATTTTGCATTCTTTTATGTCGTGGATTATTTTCTATATAACTTTAGTTGTGATTTATATTCTTTTTTTGATTTCAACATCTAGAAGATCAACTATTACCAAGTTTTAAGATAAGAAATTGTTTTGTATGTTTCTAATGAGACTAGAATCTGTGAATTATTTAATAAATTGAAATACTAATATTTGAAATCGCTAAATTATTTAATAAATTGAAATACTAGACTGTGAATTACATAATTGTGTCGATATTTTTATATATTGTTTTTGTTGCTTTTGATTGCATCAAATGTGTTGCTTTTTGTTGCATCGTGTTGTTTTTTGTTGTATCATGTTGCCTTTTGTTGCATCGTATTATTAATTGCTTATTTTCACAATAAATTGCATCAATGTTTGGAAGAGAGGGGGTATTATATGAAATTACAAGTAAATACCAATTAAATCCTTCCTTAACTTAAAGCTGAATTTGAAGCAATTCCCGTGAAGTTGTTATATGTAATAACAAGTAATTGTTGTGAAATTGCAGGTAGATACCAATTGAAGACAAGATAATCAAATTCAGAAGAGATGGCAAAAAAAGTGATATGAAGGATAGCTAAATTATTTAATAAATTGAAATATTAGACTGTGAATTACATAATTGTGTTGATGTTTTTATGTATTTTTTTGTTGCTTTCTGTTGCATAAGATGTGTTGCTTTTTGTTGCATCGTGATGTTTTTTATTGTATCATGTTGCCTTTTGTTGCATCGTATTGTCAATTGTTGATTTTCACTTTTTTCTAAGTTTCTATTTATCCTTTCTATGTCCTTGAAATAGGATAATCATATTATATATGGATATATATACAAACACCTGAAATGACAAAATTGAGTTTATTAATATCAGAAAAAAACAAAACATGGAGAAACAATAAAAAATAAAAAGTAAAAGCTTTCAACAACATGAAACACAAGGAAACACTATGCTACAAAATTAAATAACAATAGATTGATAAATTCTAAGCAATCTTTTTCACTACTTTCAAAAATACTCCGTATTAAACTAGAAAATTCATATTAAAATTTATTTTTTTTTAATTTTTCCCCCATTTTTACATGTTCAATATTTTAAATTTTCACATTTTGATTTATCAAGTTTTTAATATTTTATACTTTTTATAATTTAAATCAATTATTTGACTCTTATCAAATTTTATGATTTATATTTTGTATTTACATTTTACTTTATAAAACTTAATTTAAATTTAAAAATAATCAAATGTTATGCATTCATATGATTTTATAGTTTTTTCGCTGAGTATATATTTTGATTTTAAATTTTTTATTCTTCCATAAAAAAATTGTAATTACATGTCACATGTTTATAATAATTTACCATATTTTACACTTTGTTAATAATTTTTAGGTATCTAGGTTATTTAACCATATTTTATTTTATTCTATTAAACTTTTAATTTTTATATATTTTTTAGGGTTAATATTTTGATATAAATTATACTCGTATTAACTATTTAAAGAAGCTACATAGTACATCAAATAAGTTGCCTTTAAATTTTTTGAAGTTTCCCACATTTTACTAAATAATATAATTTCAAATTCAATTTTGAAATATCTTTCTATGAATTTGAGGCTTTTTCTAGTTTTTTGGACTTTTATTATTTTTCTAAATTTTGTTTCCCACATTACTATGTCACTAACAAAGTAATGAGGCATTAAGTCATAGTGCACTTGTGTGCGGAAGTAAATCGAGTAGACCCGTACCGTATCTCATGTCTATTTATGAAAGCAAACTTTTGAATTGGCTATTTTTGAAATTAACTTTCAAAACTGTAAAAAGTGATATATTTTCACTTTTTGTCTACTCCTGAAAATTTCCTTTATTTTTTTTTAATTTTTTTCTATTGGGCTGGCTGCTAGGTGTGTGGGGATGGGCATTTTGGGTGGGTTTGGGGGATGGGGGTTGGAATTAATTCGAAAAGATAAAAAAAAATCTAAGGCCTGACCCGGCTCGGAGCCTGACCTGGTCCCGATACAAACTTGGGTATCGGGCCTGCCATGTTTGGGCCCGGAGCCTGCCCTGACCTGGCCTAGAGCCTGGCCCGGAACTAACCTAGTCCACCCGTAGTCCCCTACTAGCTACCTTGAATCCCCTGATATGGTCATATCATTTTTGGCTTCTTCCAATTCAACCGATAATTCCGTCATATTTTCCTTCCATGAAACTCATGATGACATATGTGATGATGATGAGTAATTTCCAAGACATCTTATTATAACTTCAAATTAGTTATTTTTTAATTTCATTAAATACACACTAAGTGTTCATCATACAAAGCAAACAATAACTTACCAAATATTTTGTCTTGATTATGATTCGATACTAAAGTGTAATGTTTTTTTTTTTAAGTTAGGGTAGGGGTGGGTAGTGTGCTAGAGTATGGTGCTACATCCATTTATATATGTACTTTTAATCGTAAAATGCGTATATTAAAGAATACGAATATGGAAAGTAGACAAATTATCATGATCGAACATTAGTTGTGGGATGCTACAAAGTAGTCATGGACTTAGGAGTGGACTCGGGCCGGGTCAACCGGCCCGGAATCGGACCGACTCGCTACTGTGCGGGCCCGGACCGGCCCGGTGAACCGGTTGGTTGGCCGGTTCGGTCCACCCCGGCCCGGTGGGATGGCGGTTCGGGCTCGGGCCCTTCAAAAGGTGAACCAGCCCGGCCAGTTCGGGCCCAGGCCGGGCCAAATTTTTTTTTAATTTGTTTAAGTTTTTGGGTTGGGCTGGATATTTTGGGCCATTTGAGGTGGTTAGGGTTGGTTTGGGGGTGAGGGGAGGGTTGGGGGTTAACTAGGAAAAGCCAAAAAAAAAAAATTAGAATCGAAGCCCGGCCCGACCCGGCCCGGACTCGGGGGTGACCCGGACCAGTTCCGGGCCTCCCCTTCATGAACCGAGGCCCGGCCAGGCCCAGGCCCGAACTGGGCCTGAACCGGGCTGAATGATAAGTTGACCAAAAGAACTCGG